TTGATTTAGGACCGGTATTGCTTATAGACGCTAACACTCCCACATACACACACGCACACACTCGAGCAAAGTAGCAGGACCAGTATAAAAGATTGTTGGCCAAACCACTCTATATCTATCTAGGTTTTGTATTTTATTTGGTTTGATTGAGTCTATATACGAGGTAAGATAGAGCCGAATAATCTTCTTGCCATAGTGTTAACGTGAGACTTTTACAGAAATGAGACCCAACTCTGATGATGCCCATTATATGATGGACGAAAGCTCAGCCCATTTTCACCCAAAACGAGGAAAGAGGTCTCGTGGGCTGCATCAACTTGAACATCGTTTAAGTCAATAAGCTGCAGTACCACGCGATTCATCCCTCGTCTTCTGGTGAGATCGACCTACGAATCTCTTTTTCATGCACTTTTATACGAAATGATTGTCCCCCCAACACTAAGTGTACCTTGTCCTGTCGCTAGCCTATATGACAGAATACGGCCATTTTGCACACATTCCGGCGTTGTCTGTTTTTTTTAATATCGAATCTACACGTCACATTTAATTTCCTATACAATGCTCATCATGACTCATTCTCTTGTTCCTCTATAAAATGCTGGGTATTCCGAAGCCGAGCACTTATTTCTAGTGAATATTTTCGACCCACTAAAGATGCACCAAAAGGCAATTCATATCGTTGGAGTCAAATAATTGCATAAAATGAGAGTACATATTTCTTATAATTAATATTCAAGCTCGCCTTATTCCCAATTGCAGCTGAAATTTGGATGACAGCCTCGGCACGCGATTTTGCTACTCGAAGAATGGCCTCAGCTTCTCCAGTAGCCTTATTAATCATTTCAATACGTTGTCCCTCTGAGGAAAGAATCTGACCCTGCTTCAGCCCCTCAGCTCTGTTGATTGCCGCCTCTCGTTGTCCCTCTGACTCAAGGATTGCGGCTCTCTTTTTCCGATCTGCTTCTACTTGCATTTGCATTGCCTCTTTAATTTTCTCGGGAAGATGAATGTCTCCTGTACGTATAAAAAAAAGAAAAATGGATATGAACTGACTAAGGTTAAAACGAAGCCGGATGTTTTTTATCTGTACATCTTAGTTTATGAATTCTACTGGCAATACACTATCCTCAATTAGTTCAGAAATTCCGATTCCGTATGTCCAGCCGTATTCAAAAATTTATTTCTGAATTTTGTCTG